TCAAATCTCCCCCTGAAAAGCAAAGGTGCGGATGGATTGGTCGAAATTTGAGAATGATTAAAAATAAATGCCCTATATTTGAATAAACTGATTCTTATTGCAATAGAAATCATTCGTAGCAAGTGCGATCAGTGGAGTGTGCGTTAATTTGTATTCTTCTATGGCATTAAAAAATGCATAGATTTGGAGCTCTTCAAATAATAAATATTTTAACATTGCCACGTGACAGGCAGGCACCCGCACACCCTTCATTAAATTCACGGAATTGCTTCAGCCCGCTCGCTGGTGTAAACACTCTGAACTGCTGTCATTTGAGTGAAAGGAATACCATAGTAAGTGGCCTAATTACGTTGTCATTATTTTTTTACAACCCTTGGTCAATCAACTGCTGGATGAAGGCCACCACTCACTCTTCACTCACTGGGGCCTGTTAGACCATACTCCCACACCGCACCGATCAGTGTGGGTTGGCGATGAAGGGACACCACCAGTACCGAGTCAGACATCACTGACTCGGTCTGGGAGCCGAACACAGCTTACCGAGTCGAATAGTGCAGTGCGCGAACCAACGACTGCGCCACCATTTTCCCCCATCTAATGTTCACGTATGATACCTTCCATCAACACGTGGCTCGCGGCGGCAATGACCTTTCATCAAACCACCGCTAGATGAGGGCCTTTTGGTCATGGCACTTACAATCGCCATACGTCACCACGCTGGTCAGTGCGGGTCGGTGAAGGCGTGGAGCATCAGACATTGCAGCTTAGAATCACTGTACAACATTCGATTTTTCTGCCCTGCAGCAGCCGACGATGCCCGTTTTACGCAGGACAGTCGCCCATCCGAGCATCATCAGGGCTCTTCAACCGGTTAGCTTCTGAGATTCGACGTGCAATCGGGCCCACCCTGGGCGATTCTGGTCACAGAGCTGCCGTCGAATGTTCGCCCCCCAAGCACACGTGGCTCGCGGTGGCAATGACGGGACGTCGACACGCAGCCAACGTGCCCTGCGCACGGTCGCGTCGGAGCGAGCGACGGAGGGAACGTGACCGTAACGATGGCGGTGGCAGGAGAGAGAGAGGAAGAGAGGGAGGGAAAGAGGGAGGGAGAGAGAGGGAGAGGGAGGGAGAGAGGGAGGGAGGGAGAGAGAGAGAGAGGGAGAGAACTCTCTTGGCTCAATCCCACTTGCTAAACCCAAAGGTTAACTGTGTCTTCAAGGGGGCATTTTCACCAAAAAAAAAGCAATGGGGGGCTGTAGTGCAGTATTTGCTTTCGTTGCGGATTACGCTCGCTCCGAGTATTTTGACTTGCCGTTAAATGGGGAGTAAAGCAAAGTAAGAAAGAAGAGTACGGGGGGTGGGGGGGGGAAGAGAAAAAAAATACGCGCGTGCAAATGTCATTACCCTTGGGTAATTGGGTAGCACGGTCGTGCAGCACGTGTAGCGACAGGGCAACGTCGAGGAATCACGTTGCGCACATATTCGTCGTCGTCGTCGTCACTAGCCATGGTCGATCCGCTGCTGGACGAAGGCGCCCCAAGCCACCGCGATCTCTCCGCCGTGCTGCGATGTGACCGTCCACCCAGCAGCTGCACATGAGCCAATTCCATCGCTCCATCTCCTTGGTCGAGAGGTTCTCCGGAACGCATTCCTTTCTTGTCGCGATGCGTCCTAACCTAATCCAAAATATTTATTAAATTATTTAAATATTTGAAAGGGGGAAAATCACATTCTGTGGTTATTTTGATGTTTTTGAAATACATATTTTTTAAACTAACATTGTATAAGGAAATATATATAATAATGTTTCATAGAACAGGACATCACAAGCTCATACCGATATGAGAGACAGAAAGAGGAGCGCATTGATTGGAACTTCAAGGCACCTGAGCCGGAGTGATTGGAAGTCATGGGCCCAGATCAGCTCAATAACAATGGTAGGAGGCTGCTAGACTCCTGTGCAGCCCATGGGCTTGTAATCACCAATACTCTGTTCCGGTATCGGCATATCCACACTACATCATGGATGCACGCCGGGTCCAAGCAAGGACATCTGCTGGACTACATAGTGACAGAACAGCGGATGCGGGACCACGTCCTTGATGCCTTACCGTGGAGCTGATCTGCCCACTGACTATTGGCTTGTCATCTGAAAGATGCGCCTGCCAATTTTCCACTGCGGTGGTGAGTGTCCACACAGGACCCCATTGAAAGCCACAGTCAACTGGTCTCAGCTTGCTAATGAAGGTTGCAAGCAAACAAGTAATAATCGCTTGCAACTGGGGTTGGCATCCATTGCCTCCCTCCCCCGATCCTGCGGGTAAATGGGTGAGGTTCAGGACTGTGGTTCATGCAGCTGCATATGGCTGATTTGGGTATGCAAGCCAGACCTCTCCAGAAACCCTGGCTAACGGAGGAGGTTCCCGCACCTCCGATTGGGCACGGTTGGCTATGTACGGTGTGAAAGAAGTCCACCATACTTACACACGTGCAAGGCATGAATAATGGCTGTTGGTAAAGAAGTAGAGTGCGCTTGCTTAGGCAGCAAGCGTCACGGCGAGAAGGGAAGCGGTGTCCGGTGGTCGAGACTAACGGCGGAGTGGCAGACACGGGATGGAACGCGCCCCGGGAGGACGTCCGCCGCACAGATGGAGCGACGAATCCAGCTCGTGTGCAGATGCTCGCTGGACCATGAGAGATGGTGAATGCTTGGGAAGACCTTCAACGAGCAGTGGATTGATCACAGCTGAAAAATGATGATGATGATGATGATGACCCCATATGGCATATTAACCCAATCAACACGATACCTGGATGTGTCTTTTATTTAATGAGTGCTAAACGCTAAAGGTCGCCGTGAATCCTTGCGAGGTTGTCCCGTAAGTGGCGATGTCGAACAAGAAGTCTGCTGACTGACCGTATCCAATTGAAGATGTTTGGCAATGGTGTAGGGGAATCTGGCAAAGAATTAGACCCTTTGGCATGGCTTACCATACCTTGTCAGTGACGGCAAAAGAAAATGCTTCCCCTGTATATCCTTGAAATGGACCCTGTGCATTACCATTGATCACCTGCCTTGTGCTAAAGCCATTAAAGTGCTCGATAGTTCATTGTTACCAAAACTACATGAAACACTACGTACGGGTTAAGTTGTGCCTCCCTTTCACCGGGATTCGTCAAAGCCAATTATCAAACAATGAAATACGTTACTGCTGTAATTATTAATTAGCGACGCTCTATTATTGAAACATAATTAACAGTCTAATGCTTTGGGAAAACATTGTTTCTTTTGTTCTCTCAACGTTTCCGTGTCTATATTTTTGAAAATGCTCGCCCACCTTGCTCAGTGCGAGAAACGTGTCAACTCTGATCTATTTGCCCCTCCAACAGTGCTGTTCGTTGCTGGCCGCTTCGCAGTTTTGGGCATTTTGGGGCCCTACGCTCGCCCAAGCGCGATATGAAAGAAAAAAAGCTGGGCGCAATTTAGCGGCTTTTTCTTTTACCCAGCGGAATTGTTCCTCAAAATTCCTTGCTACAATAAGATTGTCTGAGAATAATAATTCACGCGAAAAAAAACATCGGCACCACTGTCACAAAATGCCACCGTGACGTTCTTACACTCATATTCACGCGTGCGGCAAATAGCTTTCGCCAACCTCACACGATCTGGCAAAAAGTTACCCCTGTGGTCATAGCAAAACGGTATGTTGGAAGATTCCTTGGGTTGCTTCCATTAAGGAAGAATGTGGAGCGTTTCCGAGAAAATATTGAGATTTTGCGGTGCATAGCCTTGCAACTTCAGGTGAGGTGGACCGCATATCTTCGCCTCGGTCAGTCGCAATAATGTCACTTGAATAATATGCATTGCGTGAAAGAAATTGATGTTTGTGATGAGACGAAAGCTCCTTTGCCAAAGCGAGAACTAGATTATCAGACGAGGCACCGTTTAACCCAGCCTCTATCGTCAAATTCCCCAGATCATTAGACGATCCGGAACGGAAGACTCATCCAAAACGTGTGCCCAGTGTCAATAAAGTGTGACTAATCTGATCTCACACAAACAAATGCAAAGATCCCCCATATAGCCTTAACAGACTGTTGGGGCAAGTGCTGTTAGAGAGTACCTATGAAGGCCGGAACGGTACACGCGCGGGGTGGGTGGCCAGTACCACGCCCGACCGCCTTTGTCTCCCTGGTGGCGATGTTTACACACCACACCAGGTACTCATTCAAGGCTGAGCCGACCTAGGGGAGGCCCATGACCGGTTCAAATAATCGTCACTCGTGTTGGCCGTGAGTGGGAATCGAACTCGGGTCGCCAGGTTCATAGTGCAGCGTGCCAACCACTACACCCACCGCTCAAACACACACAGATGCCTACCACATTGTAGGACGTACCACTACATTTTTCTTCAAATTCATCATCATCTTTCGATTTAAAGCTTTCGTGACTGCAGGGATTCATCTTCTTGGTTCTTTCGGTAAAGTCACGTAGAAGGGAAGTAATAAAATAATTGTATTAAGTTTTATTTTTATTATTTTATTACTTCCCTTCTACGTGACTTTACCGAAAGAACCAAGAAGATTCATCATCATCATCACCGTTATTCCCGCTGGTCCTCTGCATAAATAACACAAAAAACACGCATGTTTTAAAAATACATTCAGTTGTTTAAATGAGGCCCCCTTATCCGCAGATGAACATCATGGGGGACATCCCTTCCCCACTCAACGAAAGCCGCGTTTACTTGACATCACATCTAGGAGATCTGCACGAATTTCGATGCGGTCTGCGCAAATTACTTTGAACTGAACTACGGAAAGAAAGCGATGCAATGCATGCGCCGATAACGCTGCTCTCGAGAGTTAAAATTGTACAAAACAGGCGATGTTTCGGGCAATGGCCCTTCGTCTTCTTCTTCATCACAGACAGATGATAACAACAACATCTCCCTCTCTCTGTGATGACATGTTGTTGATTATGTTTTCTTTCTCTTTAGGGCAGTGCTACGAGCAGCGCTATTGACGAATATGCCGGTCCTTCGCGCGTGCGCACCACTGCCAACGTAGCAGCAGCGGCGGCAGCAGCGGCGGCAGCAGCGGCGGCAGCAGCGGCGGCAGCAGCGGCGGCAGCAGCGGCGGCAGCAGCGGCGGCAGCAGCGGCGGCAGCAGCGGCGGCAGCAGCGGCGGCAGCATGGTTCGCGCGAGAGCAAAGGTTTCCTAAATCCCCGCTGTCACTCTCGCCACAGCACCGTGCAATTAGCACGGTGCAATTAGCACGGTGGCCGCACGCGGCCACCGTGTTCATCGGGTGAGGTGCGGAGAGCCCATAGCCCCAGTGGACATATTGTAACTGCTGTACGGATTTCTCCAGGATGAATAAAGATTCCGATTCCAAATTTGTTTTTTATTCGGCGACACCGCGGCGCGTCTCCACGTTGCCGAAGCGGCGGCCAGGGCACGCTGAAGTCGCCACGGAGAACCACAAAGAACCACAGAGAACCACAGAGAGAACCACAGAGAGAACCACAGAGAACCACAGAGAGAACCACAGAGAACCACAAAGAACCACAGAGAACCACAGAGAGAACCACAGAGAGAACCACAGAGAACCACAGAGAGAACCACAGAGAACCACAAAGAACCACAGAGAGAACCACAGAGAACCACAGAGAACCACAAAGAACCACAGAGAACCACAGAGAGAACCACAGAGAGAACCACAGAGAACCACAGAGAGAACCACAGAGAACCACAAAGAACCACAGAGAACCACAGAGAGAACCACAGAGAGAACCACAGAGAGAACCACAGAGAACCACAAAGAACCACAGAGAGAACCACAGAGAACCACAGAGAACCACAAAGAACCACAGAGAACCACAGAGAGAACCACAGAGAGAACCACAGAGAACCACAGAGAGAACCACAGAGAACCACAAAGAACCACAGATAACCACAGAGAGAACCACAGAGAGAACCACAGAGAACCACAGAGAGAACCACAGAGAACCAGAAAGAACCACAGAGAGAACCACAGAGAACCACAGAGAACCACAAAGAACCACAGAGAACCACAGAGAACCACAGAGAGAACCACAGAGAACCACAGAGAGAACCACAGAGAGAACCACAGAGAGAACCACAGAGAACCACAGAGAGAACCACAGAGAGAACCACAGAGAACCACAGAGAGAACCACAGAGAACCACAGAGAACCACAGAGAACCACAGAGAGAACCACAGAGAACAACAGAGAGAACCACAGAGAGAACAACAGAGAGAACCACAGAGAACCACAGAGAGAACCACAGAGAGAACCACAGAGAGAACCACAGAGAACCACAGAGAGAACCACAGAGAACCACAGAGACAACCACAGAGAGAACCACAGAGAACCACAGAGAGAACCACAGAGAGAACCACAGAGAGAACCACAGAGAACCACAGAGAACCACAGAGAGAACCACAGAGAACCACGGAGAGAACCACAGAGAGAACCACAGAGAACCACAGAGAGAACCACAGAGAGAACCACAGAGAGAACCACAGAGAACCACAGAGAACCACAGAGAACCACAGAGAGAACCACAGAGAGAACCACAGAGAACCACAGAGAGAACCACAGAGAGAACCACAGAGAACCACAGAGAACCACAGAGAGAACCACAGAGAACCACAGAGAGAACCACAGAGAGAACCACAGAGAACCACAGAGAACCACAGAGAGAACCACAGAAAGAACCACAGAGAGAACCACAGAGAACCACAGAGAGAACCACAAAGCGAACCACAGAGAACCACAGAGAACCACAGAGAGAACCACAGAGAACCACAGAGAACCACAGAGAACCACAGAGAGAACCACAGAGAACCACAGAGAACCACAGAGAACCACAGAGAACCACAGAGAGAACCACGGAGAACCACAGAGAGAACCACAGAGAACCACAGAGAACCACAGAGAACCACAGAGAGAACCACAGAGAACCACAGAGAACCACAGAGAGAACCACAGAGAACCACAGAGAGAACCACAGAGAGAACCACGGAGAACCACAGAGAGAACCATAGAGAGAACCACGGAGAACCACAAAGAACCACAGAGAGAACCACAGAGAACCACAGAAAGAACCACAGAGAGAACCACAGAGAACCACAGAGAGAACCACAGAGAACCACAGAGAACCACAGAGAGAACCACAGAGAACCACAGAGAACCACAGAGAGAACCACAAAGAGAACCACAGAGAACCACAAAGAGAACCACAGAGAACCACAAAGAGAACCACAGAGAGAACCACGGAGAACCACAAAGAACCACAGAGAGAACCACAGAGAACCACAGAGAACCACAGAGAGAACCACAAAGAGAACCACAGAGAACCACAAAGAGAACCACAGAGAGAACCACAGAGAACCACAGAGAGAACCACAGAGAGAACCACAGAGAGAACCACAGAGAACCACAGAGAACCACAGAGAACCACAGAGAGAACCACAGAGAACCACAGAGAGAACCACAGAGAACCACAGAGAACCACAGAGAACCACAAAGAGAACCACAGAGAACCACAGAGAGAACCACAGAGAACCACAGAGAACCACAGAGAGAACCACAGAGAACCACAGAGAACCACAGAGAACCACAGAGAGAACCACAGAGAACCACAGAGAACCACAGAGAGAACCACAAAGAGAACCACAGAGAACCACAGAGAACCACAGAGAGAACCACAGAGAACCACAGAGAGAACCACAGAGAACCACAGAGAGAACCACAGAGAGAACCACAGAGAACCACAGAGAACCACAGAGAGAACCACAGAGAACCACAGAGAACCACAGAGAGAACCACAGAGAGAACCACAGAGAACCAGAGAGAACCACAGAGAACCACAGAGAGAACCACAGAGAACCACAGAGAACCACAGAGAACCACAAAGAGAACCACAGAGAGAATCACAGAGAACCACAGAGAACCACAGAGAGAACCACAGAGAACCACAGAGAACCACAGAGAACCGCAGAGAGAACCACAGAGAACCACAGAGAGAACCACAGAGAGAACCACAAAGAACCACAGAGAGAACCACAGAGAACCACAGAGAACCACAGTGAATCACAGAGAACCACAGAGAACCACAGAGAGAACCACAGAGAACCACAGAGAACCACAGAGAACCACAGAGAGAACCACAGAGAACCACAGAGAACCACAGAGAGAACCACAGAGAACCACAGAGAACCACAGAGAGAACCACAGAGAACCACAGAGAGAACCACAGAGAACCACAGAGAGAACCACAGAGAACCACAGAGAGAACCACAGAGAGAACCACAGAGAACCACAGAGAACCACAGAGAGAACCACAGAGAACCACAGAGAACCACAGAGAGAACCACAGAGAACCACACAGAGAACCACAGAGAGAACCACAGAGAGAACCACAGAGAGAACCACAGAGAACCACAGAGAGAACCACAGAGAGAACCACAAAGAACCACAGAGATAACCACAGCTCCATTGCATGCCCGCATTGGTGGTGCTGGCCCATTGGGGTTTGAGGGGGGGGGGGGGAGAAAAGTGTTAAATAATTATTTGGGGAACGGAGGGGAGGGGTGGGGTGAGGAAGCCCCCCCTCGCCCCCACCCCAACATTTCAATCTGTAAACTCCTCGTGAGATAACGGAGGAGAGAATGGACAAAGACGCGGAGATGTCGGGAGATCAGAGACACGTGAACGGACGAGTGGTGAGGTCGTAGAAGAGAGGTACAGATGAGACCGAGATGTCGTGAAAACGGGAGTGGTGTTGACAAGAGAGACAGATCTTCTTGGTTCTTTCGGTAAAGTCACGTAGAACCAAGAAGATGAATCCCTGCAGTCACGAAAGCTTGAAATTGAAAGAGAGACAGAGATAGGTGAGAGAAAAGAGATACAGGAATGCGGGAGAAAGAGAGAGATATCTGATGGCTCTACTATGTTAATGATCTTGTTACGCTGGTTAAGATTTGACATCGAGATGATCTACGTGTGCGATGGTCCGCTGTAATTTCTTTGATGAATCCAGGGCCCCTTTGAGCCTAATGGGGTGGGGGGGCTTCGCTTTGCTTTGCTTATTCCTGGCTGCCCCCAGCGCACGGCCGTACGGCAGCCTGCGGATTCACATTGGCGGTGATGGATTACCCACCCAGCGCAGTGCACACACGCCGCTTGCCTGTTGAGAGCCATGCGCGTATAGACACAACAACAAAAACAACAACAAAAACACCCCTCTCCCCCCCCACAACTTTGAAAACTTTGCAACACGTGCTCGTGCACAGCGGTTGTTTGGTCAGGATATTACATTCGGGGGGTGTAGCTGTGTAGACGTGTGTAATTTTGTGGTAGGCAATACCTGTCTGTGTGTAATGTAACAACAACAAACTGCTTAGAATTGCTATTGTTGGGAATTTGGAGCCAGACGGTGCGATAGTAAGGGGTATTTTTTGTCTGCTATGTTGAGGCTGCTGTATAAGTCGAGTGTTAGCTCACATACTGAAACGTACGGATTAAATGAATAACAGTTGAACCCCATGCGAATTGAGCTGATGGAGCTGACAAAGCTGAAAGTACTCTGGGCGAAAAAAGTTGATGTTAAACTCAGCCATGGAAAGCCTGAATCTGCCGTTGAGGAGTAGCGTCATTGTTCACATTTTAATCAATACATTGGCAAGTATGAAAAACAATAATAGTGATATAAATGTGACAATCTTGTCGAGTGGTGGAGGGTATATGACAATAATTATGGCATAAAACTACCCCCACGTGACCTAACCCAAAATCAAATGATTGATCATTGAATTGTTTGCCAAAACCCATGTGCAAATTTCAACTTGTTTTTGTTTTTAAATAAAACTGTTGTGTGTCCATGGCGCCGTTATATTCCTCACATCTGTCGCCGGTCCCTAAACGTTGACATCGCCATCTGCCTCTCTAAACGGGCAAAGTAAAAGCACTTTAAACGTGCACGGTGCATGCAAAAGCATCACTTGAGATGATTTTTTTTCTTCGGTTAAGCGAGTTGCTTTTGCTTAAAACGACCCCCCCCCCCTCTCTGCCCCTTTAATTGACGCTGGAGAAATTTAGTTCAAACGGCGCGTGTTGTTTGAAAAAATCGTGACTCTCTGAATAATTTTGCCGTCGCAAACAACATTAGCCGATCGGTAATTTCGTAGTCGGACATTTCGCGGTGGCAGTTGAGACTTTCGATGTCACGACGCTATTGTTCTTATTATTTTGCCCATTCCTTTCACTTATTAAGATGGAGCTGAG